ACATGGCATGCTGGGAAAAGTCCAGGTCTGAGCAACAAGGAGCCCTGTGTGTTCTAGTCCTGCCTCTACTATCGCCTTACTGTGTGATCTTGGATAAATTCCTTTCCTTCTCTGGACCCTCATTTCCACATCAGCACACAAACTGTTCCATTTACCTTATAAAGTTGTTCTATAAGTCAATGAAATGACGGATGCACAAATAATTCGTAAACAGTCAAATGCTCTCTGCTTGCAAGAGAGTGGTTAGATTAATGCTGCCAGAATAAACCTATGCATGTATGGCCTATTAACCTCTGACAGAGGAGCTAAGATCCACAATGGGAGAAGGAAAATCTCTTTAATAAATAGTGTTGGGCCCTGGCTGGTGTGGCTCAGTGGATTGAGCTCGGGCTGCAAACCAAAGGGTCGCCGGTTTGATTCCCAGTCAGGGCACATGCCTGGGTTGCAGGCCAGGTCCCTAGTGGGGGGCCATGTCAGAAGCAAGCACATATGATGTTTCTCTTCCTCTCTTTCTCCTTCCTTTCCCCTCTTTCTAAAAATAAAAAAATCAAAAATTAAAAATTAAAAATATTTTAATTTTAATATATTAAAATTAAAACAACACACTAATGCTTCTCTTCCTTTCTCCCTCCTTTCCCCTCTCTCAAAATATATAAATAAAATCTTTTAAAAAAGTTTGTGAGTTCAATCCCCTGTTGGGGTGTGTATGGGAGATAACTGATCAAAGTTTGTCTCTCACATTGGTGTTCCCTGCTCTCTCTCTCTCAATTCAATAAATAGATATCAATAAGTAAGTATCCTTGGGTGAAGATTTAAAAAATGGGCAGAGGATCTGAATAGACATTTTTCCCCAAAAAACCCCACAGATGGCTAACAGGTATATGAGAAGGTGTTCAATGTCATTAATCATCAGGGAAATGTAAGTCAAAAGCACAAGGAGACATCACCTCACATCTGTTAAAATGGCAATTATCAAAAAGACAAGAAATAACATGTGCTGGTGAGGATTCCACATCCCCGTGGGGAAACCCCGTTCACTGCTGGTGGGAATGCACACTGGTGTGGCCAGTAGGGAAAATAGTATGCAGATGCCTTGAAAAATTAAAAATAGAACTGCCATCTGATACAGCAATTCCACTTCCAGGTACTCACCTGAAGAAAACGAAAACGCTAACTCGAAAAGATATATACACCCCCACTTTCAGTGAAGGAAGCGTTCTTTATAGTAACCAAGACATGGAAGCAACCTAAGTGTCCATCTATGGATGGATGGATAAAGAAAACGTGCTGTCTGTATACTGTATGTGTAGTCAACCATAAAAAAAAAAAATGAAATCTTGCCACTTGCAACAACATGGATGGACCTTGAGGGCATTGGGCTAAGTGAAGTAAGTCAGAGAAAGAAAAATGAGGTCTAATCTCATTAACGTGGAATCTACAATTTTACCAAACGACTGCATAGGTACAGAGAACAGACTGGTGGTTGCCAGAGGCACGGTGAGGGGGGTGGGTGAAACGGTGAAGAGAGTCAAAAGTTACAAACGTCCTTTTATCAAATGAGTAAGTCGTAGGGATGCAATTTTCAGCGTGGTGACTGTAATTAATACTGTACCGCCTATTTTAAAGTTGCTAAAAGTGTAGATCTTAAAAGTTTTCATCCCAGAAAAAGTTCGTAACCATGTATGGTGACAGATGCTAACTAGACTTATTGTGATCATGTAACAATATACACAAATCTCAAGTGGTTATGTTGTACACCTAAACCTGATATAACGCTGTACGCCAAGTATATGTCATCAGAAAAAAATGTAATGCTGGCAGATTTGCCCCGGGGAATCAAAGGACATGTTCTCCGTACATTCAGCAAGCCATTCTGATGACTGTGCATACTTCATTGCAAGAACTTAAATCTTCAAGTCCAAAAGACCACAGTATGTGGGGCCTTCCCCAGGCGAGTCCCTGGCCTAGTTCTTGTTCAGATACATTGAACTCAAACCAAACTTAACTGGTAACCCAAACTGCCCTGCTTCCCCGCCCCCACTTCTATGTCTTTGCTCTCCGAGTTCCCTCCACTAATACTTTTTCTTTCCTCTGTACTAATTAAAACCCTTTCCATCATTCCACGCCAGATCAAATACCACCTTTTCCATCATACTTTCCTTCAAGATAGCAGCTGAAGGGAGCCCTCTGGTTTCTGAAATGCAACAGACCATTTTGCACTTTCATTCCAGCCTTTGGGGGCCACCTTTCTGAGTAAAGGAACATAATTTTTCCTTTAAAGGAAAGAATGCAGACTGATCAGTGGCATGTGAAGAGCAGAGCTGGCTCCGGGCTGAAGGCAATGACAGGAAGGAAGGGATTAAGGGAAGGAGGGAGGGAGGGAGGGAAGTCAGGAGGAGGAATGGGAGGTGAGGAGGAGACCGAGAGAAGGAGGGACAGCAGGGGGGCCCTAGCTTACCTGCAAGGGTTAAGCTTTGGCTTTCTCGGAAGCTGGTGGCTGTATTGGGGGTTGGGGGGAGACTAGGTTATCATCTGGGACCAACGCCAAGAGGAGAGTAAAGACCGAGGGAGAGATTACACTCCAGGAACAGCGATGTCACCTCTGCCTCATCCTCATGCCTCCTAAGGGAAGGTTGCCTCAGAAGATTCATCATCAGAATTTGAGAGGATCCTTTCCAACCCCTGGCCTGTTGTCTGGATGGGAATGGTTAGGCCGGGGGAGTGGAAGGGACTAAGGCACAAGGCCTTGAAGTTGTCTCTGCCCACCAGCAACACAGGCCACCGGAAATAGAATAGCCGATAACCTGGGCGCTTAATTTGGGGTTTTATTCCGCTCATCTGGGAAATGGAGTTAAGAGTTTCAGCCCTTCCTCTGTGTCTAGAATTTTATATGCTCCTACACCCTCCTCAAGCACACATCCTTTGAAATTCTCAGAGTAGCCACATGCTTTCATGGGCCAACCAGAGAATCTGTGTCCCAGATGCCGCAGTGGGGAGCCACCCTGGCCAGGCCCCATTCAAAGAGTACACTTTCCTGGGGGCCTATAGCAAATGGGGTTGAGTCCTAATCTCCAAGGGACTTGAATAAAGGGCTGGGGGTCGGGTGGGGGGGAAGAGCCAGGAGAACTCACCTGTAAGGAGACATGGGGCTGCCTGCCCTGAAGCCCTCTGGCTGTGCTTCCAGCCCAGTCCTTCAGTTCTCTTTGCTCCCTGCAGATAAACAGTTGCACTGCTCTCTAAAATGCATCAGAATGAAAGTCTGGAAGCTGAGAGGGGCAGGCCACAGAGCTAGATGTCCAGTTCAGCCAGTGGGAGGTAGGGTGAGTGGAGGAGGGAAGAGGGAGGAGAGGCAAGTCAGTTCATGACACCACTGCATGCCTCCCCTCCCTCGTGATAGATTATGCTGTAGGGGGGCTGTCAAGGCAGCTCCCAGAAAGATATAGTGCTTCCTAGGTACAGATTATCTGGGCTCTCCTCTCTCATTCCTTCACCTTGTGCCTCTTTCGCTGCACTTCTACATCCCCACACAGATGTCTTGCGGGAGAAATATGAGAAGGTATTGTGGAAAGTTCAAGAGTTAGCAAAATGAAAGTGCTTGGCTCTGAATTGGTGTAGTTAGCTCTGCAGGTCCTGTTTTCTTCCTTCCCCCGCTTTTCTCCACAGCAGAGGGCACTGACTGATCACTGCAAGTCGTGATTTCTAGGATCCCTCCTCAGTCATCTTCTGGCTGGGTTCCACCAGGGAGAGGCACCGGTGGGAGGGCAGGAAACGTGGAGAAGCCAGAGTATTTCGCCTCCACCTTTTGTGCTTCTGGCGGTGTCTGCTGTGTATATTCATGGCTCCCACTGTTATTACACCTCCCATTCTGCTGTGTGATCCCAGTTTCTGACCCAGTTCACACAGCGTCCTCCCACTGTTCCTCCATTGCGCACCTCCCCATGATCTGCCTTATATTTCAAGAGGACTGACCCCCGCCCTTACGCTGTGTGTCCCAGGCTCTCAAATTAGTTCACTTCCAGTTTCCCCTAATGAGAGAGACATTGGAGGTAGATTGAAGGGCAAGAATGAGGGAAAGGAGCCCTGGCTGGTGTGGCCCAGTGGACTGAGCACCGACCTGCAAGCCAAAAGGTCGCTGGTTTGATTTTCAGTCAGGGCACATGCCTGGGTTGCGGACCAGGTCCCCAGGAGGGGGTGTGTGAGAAGCAATCAACTGATACTTCCTCACATATCAATGTTTCTCTCCATCTCTTCCCCTCTCTCTGAAAAATAAATAAATAAAATCTTTAAAAAAAAGAACGAGGGAAAGGTAAGGGTATTTTTTTTTTCATTTCCTCTGGTTTGGGCAGGATTTCTCTTCTATGGTTCCGCACCTGTGGACAGACCTGTGATCCCACTTTCTATCAGGTGACCCCTGTCCCTGCACTCTGGACATCCTTTCTCCCTCACTCCTTTAGCCAGGGGTAGTGTAGGACTCCCAGTACCACTCACATCTTGGTTACCTTCCTGTCCGGCTCAGAATCTCTGCCTATCACCTATGTAACCAATTTCTTTTCTGCATTAAATTCGGTCATACATATTTGGTAGTTTGCTTTCCCAGTTTGGTCTTGATCACTAAAGGGAATGCAGCCTGTGATTGAAGGTAAGTGAATGGGAGGCTCGCTGGTCACTGGACTCAAAATAATAGGGGACTGGGTGACAGGCCCTGAAAAGGTGCGTGGCGGCAGCCAGAGAAATGGAGGGAGGTACAGGGCTGGGCCGGCTGCTGATATCCTTCCTCGCACTTGAATTCTTTAAGACCTTGCTTTTAGAACAACACAGCTCAAAATGCTCTCGAGGGTTTGGGTAAGCAGGTGTGGACCATTGAGTTAGTTTTCCTATTTTCTCTTTCAATGGCCAGAACTCCCATTCCTGTCAAATGCCAGGCCAACACCATCCTTCCTCACGGCCAGCCACACCACTACCCAGCCCCCGAGCCACACCAGACACAGCAGCCACCAGGGTTTATTTTGTTGATGATTTTATTGTAGAGGATAATACAAGAAAGCAGCTCCGAGTGAGTGGGGGGAGCTCTAGTGCCCTCTACCTACCTGGGCCCCCAAGAGGTTTTTGGGCGTGTCATGGATGTTTGGGTACACTGCAAGATTACAATTTGTGTTGGAGGTAGCTAATCAAAGCAGGGGGGATATCCAGGTGGTCAATGGCTTGTAGCTTTCTGGCCTGGTGCAGAGCTCTGCGGATAACTAAGCGGGCCTGTGACAGTAGTGTTCGTGGAGTGGCTGCGGCAAGGAGAAACAGGTTATGAGAAGAGATCATCAGGGTAATTCTCCCACCCAAGGCCACATTCACCCTGCCCTCACTGCTGCAGCCCTAAATGTCCTCTTCCTTCTAAGAAATGCCCTCCCCCCCATGTCAATGTATGGTACCAATAGGGACACACTGGGGCCTAGAGAGCGCATGCTCAAGGCCATAAGGCAGTCACTGGCAGAGCCAGAACAAGATATCGGGCTACTGCTACCCCTCTACCTCGTGTTAGTGATCTTGTCCCTAATAAGGAATGTGTAACCTCTTCTCCATGGGGCCTCCAGTAGTGGGAGGATGATGGTGCTTTCTGCAATTCATCCCAGAAGGACTGGCTTGGGGGGCATGATCTGGGGATCGGGGACCTGAGACCTTCACACCGGGAAGTGTATAGGACTGGCCCACTTGACACTCACCTCGGGCTCGAAGCAACAACAGGGCGCCTTTATTATTTTTCCAGTTCAGGTCCAGGAGAACAGATGGAAGGTAGATGTTAGCACCAAAATCAATTAAGAGCTGGATGTACTCTGGATCGCAATGGTGGTGGAGGCAGGTTTCGAGGACGGTGCGGGGCTGTGGAACACGAGCTAGTAGGTACTGGTCAATGCAGTTGTAGTCGGGGTCTGCCCCGTAGAGCAAAAGCAAGCGGAAACAGTCAAGGTGCCCATAGACTGCAGCCAAAAACAGGGGGCCAGAAAATGAACTCATGTTCAACACCCAGACTGGTAGTTTAACCTTGACATTTGGGTCTGCACCATGACCTAGGAGCTCCTGCAGGATGGCAACAGCACCATCACGTGCGGCTGTGAGCACGGGAGAGCAGTTGTTGTAGATGCTTCCACTGGGACAGGCGCCAGCTGCCAAAAGCGTGCCCACACAATCCAGATGGCCATGGCTGACGGCAGTGAAAAGTGGTGTCTGTGCCTTGATGTCCAAGCTGTCGACGTCAGCGCCGTGTGCCAGGAGGACCTGCAAACAACTCAGGTGGCCAGAAGCAGCAGCCAAGTGCAAGGGTGTCCCAGGAACACCCCAGCCACTCTTCCTGTTGATGGAACGTTTATAATGCTCCTGGCGCAAAAGCTGGTCCAAGGTGTGGGAGTCGTTTCTGTGCACTGCTTCGCTGAGAGCCTGCTTCTGCTCCATGTCGGTGTCATCCTCCTCCTTGTTGGGCTGCAGGAGGGAGAACATTTTGCTGATGTCCATGAAGTTCATGTTGCCTTATGGGAGCAGAACTATCCTCATCATGAGGAAGAGAAGATGCCAGGTCTGTGGATGACAAAAGAAGGGGAGAGAGACTGAGGGTCCTACATCAAAAGCTTGGTTACCAGCCCTTGCCCTTCCCTGCCCCCATCCTTCACCATCAGGCTCTTCACTCATGGGTCTCCAGCTTGTAACTCCTACTCCATGTTATTTTAAGCCACAGAGACCGCTGCCAAAACAGATCAGGCCTTTTCACAGCTTGGTGCCTTTGAATACGCTGTTCTGTCTGCCCTGCAAACTGCTACATCTGGGAAGCCCTGCCTAATCTCCTCTTCCCCCTGCTCAGGGATTCCCGAAGATCACAAGTCGACTTTAGCTATGAACTTTCACACCACAATTCCACTGGTCTGTGCTTCATTACTGTGTAAAAGCCATAATGAGGACCCCCGTATTCATCTTGTATTCCTCCACTCCCCGCAGGACTTATATCACGGCTGGGGATTTGGGAGATGCATCTTCCTTAGTTCAGAATGTGTAAGCTAATGAGAGGGCCCTGGCCTGGCAGTTTCTAGGCCAACAGAATGGTGCTTTGTGATGTTAAGCTCCCATCCCTGAGCATTCTGACCCCACCTCTTAGCCTTTGAGATGAAGTGCAACCTCTTCACAGCCCCTCATACGTGACCTCCCCTCAGACTCATGCCTCATGCTTCAGGCAACAGAAATGGATGGGAGTGACGTTTACTGATTAAATAAAGAGGTGGCATTACAGAGAACCCACTTCAAGTAAAATGGAGTCGAAGAGAAGGCAGGAAATAGTGAAGGTGTCTGGGGCAAGTCCTCTTCTCTGGAGACAACTGCATTCTGCCTCAAGACTGTTTCAACCCAGGACTCCGTTTGATTAGTGGCACGTCCTTGAAACCCGTGGCTTCCCCATCCCTCTGGGTCAAGCCTTTTCCCACCCTCTCTGCCCCACCTGGCCTATAACCTTGCCTGAACCCTCACCTCACCTCTTCCCACCATCCCCAGACCCTGTGAAATCACCCATGGCACAATGACTCACTCAAGGTAATTCTGACCTTAACAGTCCTGTTTCTAGTGTTTGAAGTCAGTCGCTCACCTCAGTTTGTAGTGTCAGCAGGGTAAGCTGGTAGATTTTCCAGAGCCCGACTCTCCTCACTCTCCCATTACCTGCAACTGTGGCCTCAGAGCCACACACCGCCTTTATTTACTGTCCACCCCTCTCTTTGTTAGCCTGGGACCTCAAGCATACACCTCAAAAACTTTCTGAGTCTCCCTCACCTTTAGACCCCTCCCCACCCGCAAGCATCAATTTCATATATGGTGTTAATATTTACCATATTTTGGACTATAAGACGCACTCCCCCCAGCCCAATTTGGGAGGAATAATGGTTGTTAATGCTGCTGTTGAGTTCTATTTACATTTACATTGGTGAAATATTATGTTATTTATGTTATTAAATATTTTACCACATTTTTAGCTTCAATTTTTTTTCCTACTCTAAAACCTAGGTGCGTCTTATGGTCCAAAAATATGTTACTTATTTTGGGGTGCCATTATAAGAAGAGGATTTTAGAAATAAGGCAGACCTAAGGTGGCAACTTAGCAACCCCAGAGCCTAGCTGAGTAACCTTGGGCAGGACTCGTCCCTTCTTTGGACTCAGTTTCCTTATCTACAAGATGGAAATAATAGCCCCTTGCCTCATGAGCCTGTTAAGGGGAAGAGAGCCACCATATATTAGATCTGTTGCCTGAAGGTGAGCTTCCTCTCTGTGCACCTTCAATCTCCTCACTGGATCCTCCCCCTCAACCATCTTAGGAAACAAAACACTTCTATGGCCCTTTGTCCCACCTCTAGATACCTTTTCCTTCTTCTCTTTCTTCTTTATAAAACATACCCAAAGAGTTGCCTACTGCCTACTTCCCCAGCTCTCATTCCTTCCTCCCCCCTGACGTTACTTATTCTCAATCACACACTGACATACCTTTTTTAAAAAGTCATCCTTGTGGTTAAATCTACTGGCTGCTTCTCAGAACTTTCCTTCTCAGACTTTCCTGGAACATCTGCTCCCATTGATCACTTCCTCTGATATGGTCCTCCCTTGGATTCCTGGTCAACACGCTTTCCTGATTTTTCTCCCCTCTGTTCTCCCTTGCAAGTTATTCCCCTAGTTCTCTCCTTGATCCTCTTCTTTCCAGTCCCGTGGCTGTAGCTCTCATATTTACCAGTTCTCTCTTTAGCAAAAAAGTATATATTCACGGAGTTTCTTCAGGCACTTCAAAGTCAGCAGATCACACCGCCACCAGCAGCAGTATCACAAAACTCGATCCGTATCTCCGTTTCTTACCTTCCACCTGGTCAACCAAACCGAAAGCTCGAGACTTATCTCTCAGTCCTTTTATCTCATCATCATACTCCCATCCAATTGGTCAAGTCCTGTGGATTTTACTCCCCAGAGATCTCTGTAATAGGCTGCTACCCTCAGGCCCATCCCATTGCCAGTGCTTTATGTCGGCCCCCCTCATCTTCTGCCTCAATTGCTATAGTGGTCTCCTAGCTAGTTTCTCATTTCAATATTTTGTCCACATTGTGCCTGAAATGATGATTTAAAAATACAAACCTTATCCATGCCAATCACGTCTTAAATCCCTTCATGGCTTCTCTTTCTTTCAGAGGATAGCCCCGATGCCTTAGTCTGGCTCAGAGGTCCTTCGTGAGCAAATCTTGGCCAATATCTCCAACCTTACTTTCTACTAATCCTGTACTTACACCCCAACATTCGGCGATAAGAGAAATGATGACCCTTCATGAATATACCTCCTTCTTCATGCATTTTCTTCTGAGGGGTTACTTCCTTCGGGGTCTGTGCTTTTCTAGCACTATAGGAGTCATCGCACTGTATTAAGTGCTTCTATATGGGTCTGTTTTGCTCCAGCGAAGACAAAAGGCCATGAGGTAGTGGCAAAACATGCTCTGGCATTCTGCTTCAATCCCAGATCGACCACTTAGTAGCTGTGTGACCTAGGGCAGATCGCTTAATCGCCCTGTGCCCATTTTTTCATCTGTACAGAGAAGATGATAGTAGTACCTGCCTCAGAGGGTGATTGTTAGGATTAAGTGAATTAATACACATTAAGTGTTTAGAATGGCACCTGGAGTACTCAGTAACTGTTTTTAATGTGATGTTATCCACGTTTACTCCCCATCCCGTTTTTCTATTGCGACCTGAACAAATGAACACATAACCTTCCCACTCCTTGTCTCTAGATTTACATTGCAGCTCCCAGAAGCCTCAGCTGTGAGGGCCATGCTGAATTCCATGGGCTTCATTCATGGAAGGTTGCTTTACAAATCATTTCTTCGGACCGAAAGCAAGGACTCCCTACTTACTATTTTTTTGTGTGGGGGGCAGAAGTTGTGTCCAGGGAGATAAAAGCAGGGGATGTGCAGGGAAATGCCAGAAGTCTCACCAAGATCATACCCCACAGCAGGGTCCATCTAATGAGCCTCCAGAGGGAAATCAAGCCCTGGTCCCCAGATGGCTTGGGCACTTTAGTGGATTGTGCCTTATTAGATAAGAAAATCTACTCTACTTGTCTAACTTCACCTTGTTGTGGTTTACTCACCAATAGTTATTATGTGACCATGGTATATACAAGGATCCCCTTCCTGATTCTCAAACTGCTGGGGTTTTAAGTGTGTGTGTGTGTGTGTGTGTGTGTGTGTGTGTGTGTGTAAAAGAGAGACATTGGCCCCTGTGGCAATCTTTGGTCCCAGTTGAGAATGGTTTTTAACACATAAAATAAAATTAAATAAAATAAGGTAGAATACATAGGTTTAAAGCAAATAAGTTATATTGAGAGACAGCTATTAAATACTTAAAAGATTATATGATATAGTAACAAATGTTCCTCATTAACACATTACATAACAAGATCTAGTAATTTCCACATTGATGATGAGCATAAATGGCAATTCCAGAAATCTGCCATGACCATAATATGATATGAAATGTCTGTTACTTCTTCTGGTGACCAAGTTACATAAACTAGTAATGCTGCCATCACTTGCTGCCTGCATTCATCCTTGCAAAAAATGGTGAATTTCTAGTTACAAATTAGGGGGATAAAAGGTCCCATCTATATTTTTGTACCCTTGGAAGTCTGTCTAAAGCCCTCCTGAGGGTCTATGAATCTAGGTTAAGAGCTCCTAGTGGAGAGTGGCTGGTTTCTGTGGGCCCCAGGAGAGTCCCCAGGCATTAGTAGACCATTTCTTAGACTCGCCTTTCCCACATCCTGAGGAGCTCTGTCTGCCCTTCTGCCCTGAGACCACCCTGCTTTGGACACACACACACACACACACACACACACACACACACACACACACCACAAGGACATAAAGACAAATCTCAACACTCTGAATTGTATAAGGTTCATTTATCTCAAGAAGTAGGTCCATTTGGACCCCAAAGCCTAGGTAGACACAGCAGGAAGCTGTCATTGTATCCCTCTTTCCCCCTGTAGGTAGACTTACCTACAGACCTCCCAAGTGCCCCCAGAAACCCGATGCAATGGGAACAACCCATGGGCCTGAAGGCTCACTACTCCATGGCAGTGTTGTGGGGTCCTAGGCTACAGGTACTCACCAGGCTTCTGCCTTAGGCTGCACTGCCCAGGGTTGCCACTGTTCCCACCTCTCTGTGAAGCACTGGGCCCTGGTGGTTTGTCCTTGGGGAGCCCCTGCTGCCCCAACACTGGGGCAGGAGAGACTCTCAGTTCCCACTGTTAGCACTGCCTGAAGGCTAGGCGTCAGCCCCTGGGCTGAATAGGTCCATAGGGCTAATTTTAGGTTGCCCTCCACCCCCCTCCCAGGGCCGTGTTATCTTACTAGTGCCATTCTGGGAGTGATCTCAGCCAGAGGAGGGGGGCCATCTATGGGGAAGTCCTGGAAGGACTGACTGACAAATAGACAGGTGCCTGGTGAGGTCAGGGCTCATGCTCCCAATGGGTCCCTGTGTACCCCTGTCCACCATTCAAATGGACTACACAGCTAGACCTCTGAGCTTCCTTCCTCTAGACCACAGCTTCCTTTGGTCAGGGGCCTCTTTTTTTCCTCCCTAACGTAGCCTCTCTGGATTTCCTTTTCCTTTCTTGAAGGTCCATCAAGACATCGCCCCCTCTCCTCTCCCTGCCTCCACTCCCAAGACTGAGGAGGGTAGTGGGAAGCAGAGACCTCCATACTGGAATGTGTACCACCAAGGTTTTCTGATCACGTATAAAGGCCTCCTGAGTCCACTCACCCACCAGGCTCAGCCTTAAGAAAATGCCCATAGCCTCCCCACTCTTCTCACACCTAAGGCATCAAACCACATCAAAATGATTTGTGCAAATGACACTTTTTTCCCAGAAGTAAGAAGTCAAATTATAACTAAAAACATCTGATGATTTAAGCTATATAAGCCAAGGACCAAATTGTGGAAAGAGAAGGATCAGAGAAGATACAATGCAAAATCATTTTACTGCTTTAAAATGAAAAGAATAAGGCAACTGTCAAAAAAAAGGTAAATTAAGAAATGGTTCCTGCCTGGCTGGTGTAGCTCAGTGGATTGAGCATGGGCTGCGAACCAAAGTGTCACAGGTTCGATTCCCAGTCAGGGCACATGCCTGGGTTGCAGGCCATGGCCCCCAGCAACCGCACATTGATGTTTCTCTCTCTATTTCTCTCTCCCTTCCCTCTCTAAAAATAAATAAATAAAATCTTAAAAAAAAGAAAACAGAAATGGTTCCTTCTTATAAATGGGAGAAACTCAAAATAAGCTAGTTCTTTAAAAATACAGAATTTAACAAGTTACTAACAAGAAATAAGTAAAAAGGACATATTTACATATAAAAAAAGGACAGCCAAAATGATTTACTGTTTTTCCTCTAAAGAGGAAGACTGTTTTGTGTCCACAGTTTAGCTATGTCTGGGTATGAAATCAAGGAGCTATACTGGCTCTTCTGCACTACTTCTGACCGTTAAGTTAAAAGGCACCTCTTTTGCACAGAGAAAAGTAACTAATGAGGCGAGCCTTTAGAAAGGTGTTTACAACTGGATGTGGAAGTACAGAGATGGCTCTTTCACTAAGACATCTCATTTTTTTAATGTAAACCAGCCACAGGGTATTTGAATAGACACCTTGGGCGAGAACCCGGATTCTGTTGGCAACGGGATTCTGAAAATGCTGACGATAGACACTGCATGACCCAAACTGCCAGAGGCCTACCATCCTTCAGCATGTGAAAGTGGATAAACCATGACTGAATATCCACTATGAAAATGCACAGCGAGTGTCATCAATCCCAAGGGGAAAATCAGGAGTTTAAACAAAAAGAAACACATCCTGTACCCAAGGAGTACTTAGGCTTGCTAGAAGAATGGACTTCTTTGAAAAGTGCACATTAGCACAAAGTGATATACCGGCCAAATTATAAAAGTTGTGCCAACTGTATCTAAAAATCCACAAACTTGATGTGATGTCTAGAGAAGCAAAACCACTGGTTTTTATGAAAAACCTAAGAGCAGGCCTGTTTCAGGAAAACTCGGATGGGCACACAGGCCATGTGTAAGCTAGGATCTAAAGCACTGACTCCTTGTCTCCTGAAAGAGACAATTGAAGAGGAGACTCCTGAATTGTCTCCTGAACTGATGTTGAGAATGCTAATAATCTGTGTTACTCCTTCAGGCCCCACAAATTTGGAATCGATCATTTTAGAATGTAGCAGATTCAAGTTTACCTATGGACTATACGAAAAGAGGAGTTGGCTAAGTGAATATTATAAAACCCAGCTGGGGTGTGGGTTGGACAAAGCAAGTGTAATTTAAGAAAACTATTTCCTTGTATGTTCTAAACTATCAAGGACTCATGCACCCATGTTAACAGTTAAGGAACATTCTGATTTATTTCTCAGACAAATGTCAGGGTCTTTATTGGCAATAACAATAGCTTACATCCTATGAGTAAACATACACAAAAGTGAAATTTTCTTTTAAACCACTCTGTAATTCAGTTATCTGTTACACACTGTCTCTCCAGCCCCTCCCTCAGCAGGATCTTAATTCACCACTATGACAACATTCCCACTTGGTTCTCATGCTACAGCAGTGAGGGGGGAAAAGTAGGGAAGGAAAAATGGAATAATGGAATCAGTCTAATATCTCAGTTCAAAGGCAACATCTCTAAAGTTAAATCTCATTCTAGAACAATAACATATTCTCTCTTGCCTACATTCCAGGCCAGCTTGACACGCATATATACTGGTTGCTGAATTAGTAAACACCCTAAATCCCCTTCTAGATTCTTAAGTGGGAGGAGGGGTGCCCAGGCCCTGCCCATGTAAACCAATTAGAAAAGCAGCATAACGTTCTTTGGCACAAGGATTATTGTGGGTGCTACAGGTGCACCCAGCACAGAAGCAGATAAGTAGCTTACTGTTGCTGGGAGCAGTCTGCCTCCTCGCTGCTAGCCTTGGAGATGCCTATGGCCTCAGAGGCACCCATGGCCTCAGAAATGCCTGGGTCTCCAGAGAAGCCCACATTCTCAGAAATGCTTATGGCCCTAAAGCTGCTTATAATCTCAAATTGTTCATACGGGCAGTCGCCACACTGGCATTTTGCTTGATCCTTCTGAGCTTGGAGGCCTCCTTCCCTGGACAAAGCATGCAGGTCTCCCATAAAATCAAGAGGATTGGTCAAAGGACTTTCCGGATGCTGAGATAATAAATCCCCAAAGTGACAGCTGGTAAAGAGTTCTTCTGGTGGCTCATCGAGAGCTTTCAATTTCTGTTATGGGAGCAAGGAATGGTTGAAAAGAATTATAAACAGGAGAAAAACTAGGAAAATATCACATAGACCTGCAGGGGTCCTGCCTACTGTTACTTATATGTTATCAAATGACCTTCTGTCCCCCCACATTACCCTTAATCATTTTTCTTCATCATTTGACATAGCGCTTTAAAAGCCCAACCATTAAAAGATCCTCAAGGGTCTTATATCTTTATAAAAGTACTTTTTTCTAATAAGTGCGATTTTATTACCGGGAGCAAGAGGGCAAGGGGGAGGCTCCTTAACATTTGTTGAATGATTTTATGTGCCGGAAACTTTACATAAAGTATTTTCTTTTATACTCATAAGAATCCTACTAATTAGGTATTAGCTGTATGTTACAGATGAGAAAACTGAAGCTCAGAAAATACAAGTTAGTCACCCAAATTCACACATTTAAGAAGTGGTAGGGCTGGGATGTGACTATTATTTCCTTTTTAATGCCAAAATCTATAATCTGTCTATAACCTGTCAACTACTTCATGCTACCTCCCATGGATATTTTCACTTTCAGGGACAACACAATGATTCAATGATACTTAACTTTCTGGCGGTCATAGACCCTTTTGAAAATCTGAAGAAAATAATGGACCTACCTTCTTCTCAGAAAACTGCATGCACGCACATATGTGAGCATGAGACAGCAATATATACAGATACATACACAGATTTTAGATATAATTTCAGGGGTGTCACAGATGCCCCAAAGGCATCTGTGGACACTTGTGGGTTCATGGACTCCAGTTAAGAGCTCCTGCCTTGGAGAACAGGCATTTTCATTTTTTTCCAGGTACCATGAAATCAGTCAATCGATCAATCTGTCTCTGTCTCCTGTCTTGTACATGCACACACACACACACACACACACACACACACACACACACACACACAGTGGTAACCACTGGAGGGTAGATAGCTGGGGAAGTTTTTAAAATATTTCTTCATTTTGTATGCTTTTGTATTCTGCATATTCTAACTTTGCACATTAATTACCTTTAAAAATTTTCCACAGGGAAAATTGCCCTGACCAGTGTGGCTCACTTGGCTGGGTGTTGTCCTACAAAATGAAAGGTCACTGGTTTAATTCCCAGTTGGGTTACATGCCTGGGTTGCAGGTTCAATCCCAGGTCGGGGTGCCTTCAAAAGGCAACCGACTGATGTCTCTCTCTTATGTTGATGTTTCTCTCCCTCTGTTTCTCCCTCCCTCCCTCTCTCTAAAAATGAATAAAATTTTTCAAAAACTAAAAAATAAAATTTGGACAGGTTTATTTGGGTAATAATATTAGGGGCCACTTCTTTCTTCTGTACATTAAAACATGATGTTTACAATTATGTATATATTTTTTAAAGCCTTACTTAATTTTTTACTTTATAATCAGAGAATGATCTGATTCTATCTAGAATGAATAATCTGATTCTCTCAGGAATCAGGTAGCAATAAGTTACATGGCTGAGTCTAGAAATTACCTACCTGATCTGGAGGCCTTGTTGCTAACAGCTAAAAGACAAGGCAGGAGACCCTAGGAAAGTTTTCCTACTTCTCAGTTCTGCCTAGGACTTGGTCTTCCCAGGACTTGCTTGCTTCCCTTGTTTCCTATAATTTTAAGGCATGTTTCAATTTTCCTTATTTTTTATTTTTATAGTTTATTTAGTGATTTTAGACAAAGGAGGGGAGAGAGAGACAGAGATAGAGATAGATAGATATCTGTTGTTCCACGTAGTTATGCATTCACTTGTTGACTCTTATATGTGCCCTGACTGGGAATTGAACCTGCAACCTTGGCATATCAGGACAATGCTCTAATTAACCGAGCTAACTGACCAGGACCTCCTCTTCTTGTTTTAAAAATCCTCACCCAAGGACATATATATTGATTTTAGTGAGAAAGGAAGGGAGAGAGAGAGGGAGAGATAGATACACACACAGAAAGAGAAACATTGAT